GATTTGGATTTCTGGGATACTCTGATATGAAACTATTTTGAAAACAGATTTGTAATAACTAATGGTTTTGAATGATTTAAAAAGTTTTAATTTGGCTTGATTTTTATGGGTGTTACATGACTGCAAAAAGCAAAGCACGTTGGTCAATGAAAGTACATTGATCAATATGGGTAAGCTAAATTTGAATTTGGTTTAATCCATAACCTTATCTTTTGATTGCGGGTTGGAAATGATAGATTCACATGGATGGGAACGTATACACCATAAAATCTAGGTGGAAAAGTTGTTTCGTTCTAATTTATGAGAATAATTACGAGACAACACTTTCCCTAGTAGATTTTAAAGATTTGATAAAGATCAACATGGTTAGTGGTTATGTTAATTGCGTTCACAAATTCATAATATGATTATGGCATCGCTCTTCGTATTTTGGATTATGAGAAATGGCAGGGAGTTGTTTGAACTTTCAAGACATATATCTATAAGTTTTGAAAGGGTTTAAACACACATGTAAGCTATCCAATGAAGGTGTATAAGCTTAAGAAGTCTAGTTGGATACTTATCGAAGCATCACGTATCATAAATCTACACTTTAGTAAGAAAGTCAAAAGTATTGATTTCTAGAAGTCGAGTTGATTTATGGGTAATTGTTAAGCTAGTGGTAACATAATTGTTATGCTAGTGGGAGCATAATTGTTATTCTAGTGGGAGCATAATTGTTATGATAATGTTATGTGTGTTGGCAATACTATTCGTAGGGAACAAAGTTTTCAATTTGCAAATTGCAAAGTTTGGGAATTGTTTCTCTATGATAGACTTAAGGGAGATGACACTCATACTTTGTTTCAAATCTAAAAGTTTAGATTGAAGGGTTTAATAGAACTTAGTATTGGACATATATAAATATCATGTTGAAGTGATTCAACATAGGAAATTCAATATATGGAAATATTATAGCAAGAGATACAATGTCCTTATGTAATACATAATGAATCGAGTCCCATATGCTTTGGATATAGGATCGATTACATATGTTGTAATATTCACTTGTTCTGATTTTTCCAAATGTCTTGCACATTGAGAGGGAAAGGGACTAGAATTTTGTGTGACTTGAGTGGTTAAACAACTATCAAGAACATTCTGAGGTTTACTGAATATTGGTTGCTTGTGGACAGTTGGAAGTATGGTATTAATTTGAACGGACCATATTGACATGATTATGGATTGAGATGATTCTTGATCAGAATTCATGGTCATATTAGAATATGGAAATGTTCCATAGCGGGAGTTAATTATTAAAATCTACATGTGATTTGGAAACTTTAATGCAAGAAAGGTGTTCAAGGAGTGTACCTTGAATTTCAGACTTCATTACCATGGAATTGATTTTAATAACAAAGTTCCAATGGAACATTTTGTAATATCGTTGGCTAAGTCTCTGTGCTTTTGAAGCCTCGACATCACAGAAGGATAATCCATGTAAGGTTGGAACTCTAACACATTTTAAGTAGTGACACAAATTTGGAATTGTGAAATGGGCATCATTGGAATAGTGTCCAGTCAATATGTTCACAAAGGAAGGACCATAGAGAAACATAGTATGCATGTTCATAACATGGCATGACTGATGTTTAATTCAAGTGGTTAGTTGATTACTCAAAACATTATACAATGAATAAAGTCTTAATTATTATGGTGATTAAATAATAAGAGTTTTATTTATATTTTGATAGTTTTGAGACCATAGTTAATTAGGTTATTATTGTGTTTCACCTTGCATGTTTTACTTCCTGAATAATTTGATTATTCGAAATTCCACAGTCGCTCATACTTTTGGAAGTAAGTAGTGAATTAAGGTTGTCATGAATTGATTTGTAGATTGTCTATGGAGATTAGACATTGCAATGGTTGCTACAATGTTCATGAGTACTTAGAAAATGAGGATTTTGATTATTGGATAAACCCACGCTCAGAGAATTACTTCATGGATTTTATCAGGGGTAATTTTGAGACGATAATATCTTATATTCTTAAAAATGAGATATATGAGTTGTAATTTACAATTCTGTTGTACATTGGTAATGCGTAAACGTATCAGTAACTTGATGTTATAAAACAACTGTTGTGTATGATTTGATGAGTAAAAGATACAATAATATAAGTCACAGTTTATTCGTTCCTTTTGCCCAAATGGGAAAAGCGATATCTTTGGGCCCCTTGGTGATTTGGTGTTAACTTATAAGTGCTAGGCCTAGCCAAGACTAAATGAAGTCTTATGTCGTCGTCACAAATCAGAAATCAGGAAACAAAAAAACTTGGACAATGTGTAACGCCTATTTTTTGGTATGTGTTTAACCTTCAAATCATTGAATTCTTTGTTGAACTCGACGAGTTGCAAACCACAACTCGTCATGTTGGAATCTGTTTGGCCGCGTGATTTAATGAACCAACTCGACGAGTTGGGATGTCTCAACTCGACGAGTTGGCGGTAAGGGAAGAAAGCCTAATTTTAGGGTTTTGCTCCCTATTTAAACACCTTAAGCCCCAGGTGTTGGCCTCATTTCCAGCCTCCGTTGTCCCCAACCCTAATCCCGAAACTCTAGAGCATTTTTGAGTGTTGTGATTCCATTGTGAGTGCATTTTGGTGTATTTCAAGCTCTTTTTAAGGAATAGGAGTTTGGTGCAAGGTGGTGATTCAAGAGAGAGCTTTCAGATCTCGATTCCTTACTCCATTTCCAACGTTTCTGGAATAAAATCCTAACCTTGCTTATTTTATGCTTAGATCTCCTTGTTAGGACTAGTTTGCATGATTTAGCCAAGTTTGAGTGGTTGATGGGGTGTTGGACGTCCTAAAGGAGTTTTCCTTTCAGATCCATGACATTAATGAGCTCTTTTGGCATAAAGGTGCCAACTTTATGGACTTAAGGGCTCAATGCATCCATTAGGCCCTTCTTATGGCCTCTTTTGAGCTTTTGAGCTTCTTCTAGCCTTGCATGTGAGTAAAGTTGGAAACTTTACATGACCTTTCATCCTTTAAGGTCCAGATTTGTACCCATGAGCTTTGTCTAGATGATTGGTGATTTATGAATAAGCCCTTAACCTCTTAAGATTAGGGTTTGGGTTTTAGACCCATTAGGATGGTTCTTAAGGGTAAAGTTGGAAACTTTACCCTTCTAGACGTAATTTCAGTTGAGATCTGAATGAGAGAGCTTTAGTTTCGAGAATAGTGACTTATTGGATTAAGGGGTCTTCCTGACTGAAGAACTCGGCGAGTTCATAGGTGAACTCGGCGAGTTGGATGGGTTTTTCCCGACTCTGCTGAAAAAGGGGAAACTCGACGAGTTCATGGGTGAACTAGGCGAGTTGGATCGACTTTTTGCGATTCTATTGTTTGATGGGAAACTCGACGAGTTGAAGGGCAACTCAACGAGTTGAGTCAACTCGGAACGTTGACTTTGACTTTGACTTTGATCAAGGTTGATTTTAAGAGGTTTCGTTTTATTAAGGGGTTGAGTAGAGGTGATTTTCGGAGCCAGGGACTTATTCAACTATCATTCGACATTCGAGGTGAGTTTCCTTACCGGGTTTAGCTAGTCTAAGGCACCAAGGCTGACCCATGTTTGATCATGTTGATTATACTTGTTGTCTGTGTGATACTTGTATGTGCTTGTATATGTATGTTTATTGGGCGGGGCCGGTACGGGATCGGGATTTGGGACAAACTGCTCGTCCCTAATTAAATATGTACAAAATAAAAACTATATTACCCTATTAAGTTATTTTTCCTAATGTTTTAAAAACCTTTTTTTTAGTTGACCGGTTCATGATTCAACGAGTCCGACCGATTTTCATAATTTTTATGTATAGTCTATTTTCACACACACACACACACACATAACACACACACACACACACATATATATATATATATATATATATATATATATATATATATATATATATATATATATATATAGACTTAGGTTATTCTAATCAAACTAATTATTGTGTTATTGTATGCATAAATGTGAGCCAATCAAATTTACTTATTTTAAGAAAGTGATTAATATATATTATTGAATTAAATATAATTGAAAAATATCATCTTAATTAATTACAAGGGTAATTTAGTCAATTAATATAGATTTAATAAAAGAAAATTGCATTTTTTAAGGGATCATAGATTCTATTAATTTTAAGAATCCGATTTTACGAATTATAATTCTTTTAATTCAGACATTCTGACAGAATATGTTTATGAGTATATTCAAAAATAAAAATATTCTCGAACCATAAATAATAAAAATATTCTTGAACCTATTTCATGATCATGACTTTAAAAATTTCTTGTAGAATAACAAAAATCTTGAACAATCAATTGAAGAATAAAAACAAAAAATACATTATTTCTTATAGAATACGGGTAACAATTGTTAAGAATTACATTTATTGTTAAAGAATAAAACTAAAAAAACTTTCAAAACGGGAAAGAAAACATCAAAATCTAACAACGACACTAATACATTCTAAAAGAATAATGTTGCTCAGAATCACTTTCAATTTTGTGGTCCGTTCTTCAACCATCAACTTCTGTGAAAACAAAACCAAATTGTAGTTTAGATTCCAATAATGCACTAGCAAATGAAAAATAAAAAACTAAATTCCTTTGGAAAAATATGTGGACTTGTGAATTGCATCAAAACCAATAAACAAGACTTGTAGAACATGCATAAATTAGTGAGAAAATATCCATACTCCATTACAACAGAATTAGAATTCATGATTCCATTCCAACAGAATTGGAATCTCACCAATATCATCCATTGAATCATCTACATAAACAAATTGATTTTTATCATATAAGAAGAAGTAAATTTGATATGAAAATAGTGACAAACTACCTTCACTTTGTACTTTACATATAAGAAGAAGGTCATTGACACAGGTGGCAACTAGCGGAAGAAGAGAATAAGAAGAATGATGGTAGCGGAGTTCGACCAATGGCAGGGGCTCCTCCACAGCTCCCTTCTCAGGCAAGAAGTTCGCGGCGTCCGGCGATGGACGCGTCTCCAAGCGGCAGCAACTGCATCGACAGGCAGTTGTGGTGCATTCCTCCTTACACACGACTGAAATGGCGCAACCCCTCATCGGTCTCTGTCTTCATCCTTCACGAAAAGATAGCAACAACAACCCTCAACATGGCGGTGGATACGGTGGTCGGAGGAGCAAGAGGGTAGGGTGGCGGCCGGTGGTGGGAGGCATAAGGATGGATGTGACAGCTGGAAATGGTTTGATTAGGGTTACGGTTTATATTGGAGGTGGTTTTAAAAAGCTGACGATGGATGGAGAAAACCTAGGTAGCTGAAGTCAATGGTTACCATAATTATAGGATATTATTTGTGGAAATTAATTATCAAATTACCTATTTACCCTTATTTATTTATTTAATTATTTGTTTTTATTTTAATTTTTGATTGGCCCACATTTATGCATACAATAACACAATAATTACTTTGAATACCTGAACCTAGCTCTCTCTCTCTCTCTCTCTATATATATATATATATATATATATATATATATATACACCAAGAATTTGACATCCACAAACATAAATCTGTATCAATTTGCTTTGGAGATGAGTTGTTATTAATGGTCTGAGTAAACTACAACTATCCAAATCCGGTAAACCGATTCAAATGATTTTTTTACCGGTTCTATCACATCGGTTCAACCCAATTTTTGAAGAAATCATCCGGTTCAATTTCGGCTTGAAAATTGGCATAAAACCAATCATTGTTAAACCGAAGTGTCCAGTTTTATGTGGTTCGACCGATTGGATCTTAGAATCTTCGAACCGGTTTTTAAAATCCCGATGTTTCTTATAATATAATCTCCCTAATTAATAAACAAAAGTAAATTGCCACGTGTCTCTTCAAAAACACTAATTCTATGATTCTATCCAAATGTTAAATAACGTTTTTGCCCCTCTTTGATTACCTTCTATAATAGGTCAAAATAAATCAACATTTAATATCCGATTATTTTTATGGTATTTATGGTATATGATCTCTATTTAAATTTAATATGATACATTTTAAATAGATACCCAATTCAGTCCTCCAATTTTAAATAATCAATACAAAAAGTTTTAAACAAACTTAACTCTTATTAATAATAGACAAAACTGCAAAAATGGTCCCTGTGATATGCATTTTTTTTGGGGTTTTAGTCAAAACCACGACTTTTTTGGATTGGTGGTCCTTTTGGTCATGTTTGTACGTAGATTTGGCCCCTCGTAAAATTGAAATGACTATAATGCCCTTCTGTTATAATTTTTTATTTTTTTCTATTTAATTTAAATGAAAAAGAAAATAAATAATTTATTTGGGCCCACCTCTCTCTCTCTCGTATACCCCCACATCTTTTACCAGGAACACTTCATCTTCCTCATATCTTCCTTCTTAATTAAAATTCCACATACACCCACCGAGTTATCACCAACAACCACTGTGACCACCACCTCATCATGTCCATAGATCTACAGTTACATCAAGATCTCTCTGCAATCGGACTGACATCTTTGAAAATCAAGCTTCTAACATCTCCAACTCTACTGGATTCAACATCTGAGGAATCATGTGTGATTCAGTTAGATGATGGAATGTCGCCTGTAGAAAACAATGGGGGCTTTCCTTCGTCTTTCTTTTTCCCCGTCACAAACCCTTACACTCCGTCGAACCTCCTTACCTATTTCTTCTTCTCATATCAAAGCTAAGCCACCCCACCATCCCACCCTTATTCTTTTTTCCAATCCCAACGGTGCTTCCACTTCTACCAATGACCTCTGTCGCCCTTCCATCGACGACCTCCACATTCCTTTCACTGAATGCTTCTGATCAACATGTTTCTTTTTGTACTTATTTCGATTGTAATCCTTTTTATCTTATGTTTCAAGATCTGGTGTGGTAATGTTGAATTCTGAAGCAAGATGTCTCTTTTGTATGAAGTAAACCTGGTTTTGGTGTGAAGTTAGACTCTCGGCATCAAGCTGATGAATTTCAATGTGATAATTTCTTAACCTAGATAAAAAAACGGAAGTAGATATTAACTGGATTCGTTTGCTGGTAGCGATTATACACAAAATAGTGAATGGATTTTCCTTTTTGATTTTGGGTTGCAGGTGATCTACTGGAAGAAAGAAAAATAGAGAAGAAGGGGTGGGTGGGTAGAGAGAGAGAGAGAGAGAGAGAGAGAGAGAGAGAGAGAGAGAGAGAGAGAGAGATTTTGTATTTATTTATTAATTATAAAATGGTTAAAAAAGACCACTAATCCAAAAAGGTCGGGGCTTGGACTAAAACCCCAAAAAAATACCACAGAGATATTTTTGCAATTTTGTCTTAATAATATAAATGTTTTATAAAATTTTTATCCTGGTTCCACGGTTACTAGGTATAATATGATTTGTGTGAATTATAGAGTGTGACCGTGTAACACATCGGTTCAACACATTTTGATTGGGACCACTAAATACATAAATATAAAATGCAATTGACAGAAAGGAAATTGGTTGCCGCATAAGATGTGTTGAATAACAGAGCAGCCTTCCTCTCTTCCATATATAACGCATTCATACTTACCACATCTCTCTCCACCGTTTATTCTTTCTTTTTCTCTCTAAATTTTTTTTCACTAAGAACCACTCTGATCAGCAGATCCACGGAGATCATATTCTGACATTTTGTTTCAGTTGCAAAAACATCAGCATGAAGAAATCAGGATTCTTTGCAGCTTCCATGGCTGCCGCTTCTGCTACTACCGCCATATCTGGCTCCAGTTTCAAAAATCAAACTTCTCACGAGGTAAGCAAATCCAAAATTCGTCATATAATGGAATCAATTTCACGTTTCTGTTATTTAACTCGTTAGTACTTCGATTTGCGAAGTGGGTGATTGATAGAAGTTTCTGTTTTTGATTCATGTTCAGGATCATCGAGGATCGAGCAAACACAGTGAAGATTCTTCTGAGAAAACGGATTGTTGCGTGGAGAAATTCGCACCGAGGTTTGATGGATTGAGGTTTATCGAAACTCTGGTAACTGCTCACCGATAATAAACGTATGAGATCTTCCATTTTTTTCATGTTCTTGCGTGATTTAAACGCTGTGAAGCTGATCGCCATGAGGCCCAAGGCTATTTGGTATTATTATTATTGTATTATTAACATAACAGATTAATTAAAAGTTAAATATCAATTTATTATGGTTCATAACTTCTGATGTAGAATGTGCATCTGCAATTTCTTGTGGCTTTCCTTGTTAATTTCATTAAAGTAGTCTGTTCGCATGTCTACGTCTAGTTTTCGAAATCGTCTAACACAACACAACCAATAATTATGCCAGCAAAGCACGCGAACTGTTCAATTTTTGTTGTACCTCACATATTTACAGTTGTACTTTCGATAAGTCACGGGTGAGTTTTGCGTGATTATTGATATACACTTTTTTTGGTTATTTCAAAAAGATATTGGATGAAAATCAAACGCTTGTCTAATCATTAATCAGCAATTCATATTTTAGAAAAAATTGTGGCCAATCTTTTTAATATTTTTTGAAAAAATGCAAAAATATTATATATTTCTCAATGTACCCACAATTTTGCAATATTTACTGCCAAATGTGACTATTCAATGTAAAATTTGAAGCATTTTTTTTATTTTTCTTTATTTTTATATCATATTCTTTTTGTAAAATATCTCATAACCTAAAACTTTAATAATGTGAAGCACTATTTTGCCGCCAAAAAAGTTTTTTTTAAGATTCCAATCATAAAAAAAAATATGTTTTCATTATAAAAAAATGTGATTTTTGTATAGTCAATGATTCGTACAAAATAAATTTTTTTATATACAATAATTTATGTTTTATAAAATTATACAATACCACATTTTAAACACAAATTATTATGTACCAGTTAATTTTTTTTAATAACTATTAACAATATTATACTGAATAGTGTTATTTAGCTGTGAACAAAGCTTCACGGTGTAGGCTTATTTGACATTGTTTCATTTTATATATTTTGAGGTAAACGTACGACGGAACGAGTGAAGAGCAGCCTATTAATTTTTAAATTAAAAGACAGAGTTTTACTTTTTCAGATGATAACGTTTGATAGCCTTTTACTTTTTGACCTAATTGTATAACAACCTCTTGTTTTTGGTAAAAAAAAAAACAGTTTTATCCAGATAAAAAAAGAACATGTTCAATAAATATCATAATTTTTTAACAACTTTTTTTTCTTCTTCTATTTCTATTTCATACGGTGGTCTTTTTTCCCTTGTATTGTACTTTTTTTCCCCTTTATTGTCTTTTCCAACGTCTTAAAAACTCACACATCTTAAAATTTTGGGAAAATGACTTAGGAGGGTAACTACCTCTTATCCGTGTTCACATATTGGCAACTTCTTCTTTTTTGTACATAAGAAAGCAACTAATTTGTTTTAACTGTGTAACATCCCAAAAATCATGACAAAAAATTTCGTTTTTAATTTAATACTAAAACCATAATTGTCAAAACATTAATTTAATACTCCGGCATCGGGTCCCGCCCCGCATCAGGCCCCACCTGGCATCGAGCCCCGCTCGGTATATAGATCTGTCTTGCTTAGGCCCCACCCGCTAAACACATACAATCATATAACATCCTAACACATAAAGAAACATACTCTACTGTATCCTTGTCCTAAGAAACATACTCTGCTAATAATGAGATACGGAACCTCCTCACTGTGTGAATGAGTCTAAGGCCACAATGCCAGCCCATGTAGTCTATGAGTAGGAAGACCCGGGGGTTAGCCCTAGGCATTGTATGCTAGTATGTTATTTCGGACCAAGGTTCGATGTCGGGCGGGTGCCCGAGGAATGTTTGCATGTTAGATTATACTTGTTGTCTGTGTGATATTTGTATGTGCCTGGTAGGGAGGTGAGTGTGGACGAGGTCCCGTATCTCATCACTAGCTGAGTACGGACGAGGTTCCGTATCTCATTATTAGCAGAGCATGTTTCTTAGGACAGGGATAGTAGAGTATGTTTCTTTATGTGTTAGCATGTTATATGATTGTATGTGTTTAATGGGCGGGGCCCGGAGACAGGCGGGGCCTAAGAGAGACATATCTATATACCGAGCGGGGCTCAATGCCAGGCGGGGCCTGATGCCGGGCTGGGCCCGATGTCGGAGTATTAAATTAATGGTTTGACAATTATGGTTTTAGTATTAAATTAAAAACGAAATTTTTGGTCATGATTTTTGGGATGTTACACAGTTAAAACAAGTTAGTTGCTTTCTTATGTACAAAAAAGAAGAAGTTGCCAATATGTGAACACAGATAAGAGGTAGTTACCCTCCTAAGTCATTTTCCCTTTGAGTTACCGGTTAAAACAGGTATTAGCCGGTAATATTGGTGTAATTTAAACAGTTAAAACAAGTTAGTTGTTTTCTTATGTACAAAAAAAAGAAGTTGCCAATATGTGAACACAGATAAGAGGTAGTTACCCTCCTAAGTCATTTTCCCTAAAATTTTATATTTTAAAAGTTTAGATCTTCAAAATTTATATTATTTAACAAATATATAAAGAATATAGTTATTTTGTGATTTTCTCCATACTTTATGATTATATTTGTTTGAACGTAGACATAGAATAAATTTTCAATTTAATAATCATAAAATAATAATGATAATAACTTTTTTTATTAACTTTAGAAAATAAAAGTATGATTTAATTAAAAATGAAAAAAATTATGTCGTTAAATATTGCATAAACAAAAATGAATTATAGTGTAATTTTCCATAAAAATAAATCATGTTTAAGATTTAAGATCTAACTAAATTGGAATATTATATTTATTTGTGAATGGTTTATTTAATTGCATAACTTATAGCAATTTTTTAATTAAATTCGTGGAAACTATAGTTATAAAAAAATAAAAAAATAAAATAAAATCTAAATCGTAATTATTAATCGTTAGGTTACATTGTTGATCAAAATTATTTGGTTACCAATAAAACACAATAAATAGATTGTGTTTGATATGCATAAGTTTGATTAGAAACTAACATTCTTTATAAATTTAAGAGTATATTCGGGAAAGAGTTTTAAGAGATTTTAAATTCTTTTATCTTTTTAGGAAAAAAAATTGAATTAAAAAAAAACCTACATTCTAGAAGAGTTTAAAATTTTATTTTCTACAAAATACTTGAACAATAAAGAGTTTTTAAAAGATTTTTTTTTTATTTTTATGATTGATACAATTCTAAACACTTAAAAACTATAACTTTCTGCTTTTAATCACCACATAAAGGTTAAATTTGTCAAACAATAAATATATATATATATATATATATATATATATATATATATATATATATATATATATATATATATATATATTTTGAGGTTCAATAGAGAACCATAATTAAAAAGGAACCAAAGAACCAATCGTGAGCGTCGGAAATCATAATGATCAACGGGTAAGAAAATAGATGTACATTTGTACATTGGACGCATACACACCGGATTATACCAAAAAATCAACTTCATTACCAAAAAACCCACCTCTTTTTTTCGTTTAAATTTTTTAGGCCGCATTTTTTATCGAAAAAAAAACCGAATATACCGTTGTTCACGATTTTTCGTCCTCTTTCTATAGAGATCTATGTTGATATATAAAAAAACGGACTTTTTTTTTTCGAAAAAAATCCACTTCATTTTGTTATGTTTTTTCAATATGTAAGTTTATTTTTATCCAAAAAAACTAATTATACCAAAAATATTAATTTTTTGTACTCTATTAATAAACACCAACACCGATTAAAAAAAAACCTCGATCAGTTCAGATTCACAATGTGAATCTAAACTGTAAATATTTCAGTTTGTAACATTCACAATGTGAATTTGACTTACTATTTCAACATTTTGATTATTCGAAAATTAACTTAGTGAAATTTACATATGAATCAAAATATATTTCATGTAGTTTTATAATATTTTAACGTTTCATTACTCATAAAATAGTTTTGTAAAATCAACAATAGGATATATTCACGTTGTGAATCTGACTTACTATTATTCACACTGTGAATCTGAGCAGGTTCACAATGTGAATCTAAACAGGTTCACAATATGAATTTGAATTGAAATTTTGATTTTTTTTAAACATCAATATGAATCTATGTTTAAAGAGTACCAAAAAAATTATGAATTTTGATATATTTATTAATTTTTTTCTACAAAAAATAGACTTAACTTTTCAACAAACAAAGAAAATGAAGTGGGTTTTTTGAATAAAAAAAGTTCATTTTTTATATATCAATATGGATCCCTATGGAAAGAGGACGAAAAATCACGAATAATAATAGTATATTCAGTTTTTTTGCCGATAAAAAACATGGCCTGAAAAAAATTAAACTAAAAAAAAGAATTGAGTTTTGTTATAATCCGGTGCATGTACGTCAATTGTAAAAGTCTACAACCCTTCTTTTTGCCGTTGATCACTTTAAATTTCGACGTTTTGGATTGGTTGTTTGGTTCATTGATTAATAATGGTTATCTATTGAACTTATATATATATATATATATATATATATATATATATATATATATATATATATATATATATATATATATATAACCACTCTAAAACCCTATGTATTTTACTTCAATGTCTAAATAAACCATTATATTTATTTTATGTCCAATTTAACCATTATTAATATATAAACCGTCTAACCTATCTAATTTAACCGCTAAACCCTAGACACGCAATTATCTGAAACACCCTTCGGCATATGTAGGTGACATCGGACATACTGAAAAGAAGAAAGGAACCAGGCTAGAGCAAAAAAGTCTGTCGATAAGGGGAAGCTTCACGAAAACAAGGTAATCGATCAATGTTTGTTGTTTAATCTGTTCGCCGAAGTCATGAGTTCCCCTGTTTTTTAATTGGTTGTTTGCATTTATTGTTTAAGGAATCTGTAACCATCGACTATGTTTTCAACTTCCCATCAATTAGTTGAAGTGTATGTGGACGGTTTGAATGGCATAAATGATGAGTCTGAAGAGGAAGAATATGTTCCTTATTCAATGGACAAGACAATATAGGATCTTTTTTGAATGATTTGGTACAAGGAGAAATGAAATTGCTTGAACTGTCATTTGATGATGCTGAATTAGCTATTCAGATGAAGAATTTGACAAAGCAGAACAAAAATCATGAAATTGGGGACCTATTTCTTGTACACAGCCCTAGGATACCTTGGAATCAAATGGAATCACACTTGGGGGGGGGGGATACGATAGCCCAGAACAGTTCAAGGTTTGTCTAACAAATTATGCGGTGGCTAATGAATACCAATTGAGGTTTGGAAAGTGTGATCGTTCTAGGATATTAGTACGTTGTGGCAAAAAAAGTGACGAAAAAAGTGTCCATTTAGATGTTGGGCGTATTGGATGGGAAATGAACTAACTTGACAAGTGAAATCCTTGGAAAAAAGACATGTTTGTGCACGAAAATACAACCTGTAATGTGTTTGTTTGGTTTAGTTTATGTTTGTTTCTGTTTAGTTTTGTTTGTTTTGGACAAAACCATGTAATTATATTCAATTTTATGTTAATGGTGGTTGTTTGGTGTGCTAAAAACCGAAATCATCAGTAAGGGCAAAATCGTCAACATCAAGAAATTAATTTTTTTTCATCACACCTGGAATGGTTACGAAGGCAGCTGCTATTCTTGTGCAGTTGTTGTTCGTTTTGGACACTAACTGCGTTATTTAGCAATTTAAGCATGCAAAAAAAAAATTGTTAAGCAGAAAAGTTGCGAATGCAGCTGCTGTTCCTGTGAAGCTGTTGTTTGTTTTGGACACATTCTGCGTTTTTTAGCAATTCAAGCATGCAAAAAAAAAAATACATAAAAAGTTAGGAAAGCAGTTGTTCTTGTGCAACTTTTGTTCGTCTCCAGCTGTTCTAATCTTCATTCCATTTCTGTTTTATTATTGATTCCATTCCAATCCTGTTCAAATCTTGATGTTACAATCTTTTAAATTACATTCTATTCTTGATTCTATTCTAATCTTGATTCCATTCCATACTAATCAAATGAACCATAACAAAAATGTTAAAAGTGTCCAACTATAACACAAGGGTAAAATTGTCCAACTATAACAAAATAACCATAACAAAGGAACATGATACAATCCAAGTACTCACAACACCATATTATCTTCATAAAACAAAAGTGCTTAATAAACCAACATCACAATTCCATTACAGAAGTTAGACTCACAATTCCATTACAGAAGTTAGACTCACACATTCATAAAACAAAAGTGCTTAACAAAAGTGCTTAATAAACCAACTATAACAAAAGGGTAAAACCGTCCATAGACTCACACAAAAGTTCCAAAAATTCCATTACAAAAGTGCATAATAAACCAACATCACCCTATTACATAATTAACCATCTTAGATTCTAGCCCTATTACATAAACAGAAACCAACTGAAGATGCCAACCACAACAATTCCAAACATCATCAACCTCCCTAGGAATATATCAGGTTCCTGTTTGTCATTCACCTTAAGCTTCATTAACTTCTTCTGCAGAACCAAATTCTCCTTCTCGAAATCCATATTCTTCTTTATAAGGTTCATATTTTCCTTGAACAATTCCATATTCTCCCTATGAAACTCATTAGGTTTACTCTTATACTAGTACATACCCAAATCCTCATTTACCCATTAAAAAAATTACAATCTTTTGAACCATCCTACATTTTTTTTGTATCTGAGTAAAACACTACAAAAACCAAATCAATCAAGGCTAGAATTTCATATACCAGAGAATTTGGGCACCGAATGAAATGTCAGCCAGGGTTCTTCCTGCAACAGTTGCGAGGAAGATGAAGAAGAACGAGATGGAGATTTTAAATCCATCATCAGCTTTTTAACCTAAACTTTCTTGTTTAAATCATACCACGTGACTTATGTTACCGGTTGCCAAATTGCAACCAGTTATAAAGCATTAAACGGGAAAAAATTATATTAATAATGGTTAAATTGGACATAAAATAAATATAATGGTTTATTTAGACATTGAGGTAAAATACATAGGGTTTTAGAGTGGTTTTCCATATATATATATATATATATATATATATATATATATACACACACACACACACATACACATACTAGCCGTTTACCTGCGCCAAACGACGGGTGCGAATAGTTTCTTCAGAAATTTGTTTCTAAAGATGATTACTTTTTTGCTCAAATAATTTACTACACCAATAATAAGCCATGTGTTAAAAACTCTATTCAAGACAATCATAAAACTCACATACTTAACCCACCTGCAACGTTCACTAACAATAAATAAATATACGACTCAATCCATTCAATTCAGACCCATCCACAACAATACAATTTTATAATTGTTTACATTAAATAGCAACCAAATTATAATAAACGAAAAAAATAGTTTTATATAATGCTTGGACATGATACATAGACACCAAGTTATAGATGTGCTTATCCTCTAGTAAAAAAAATAATGAAAATACTTTTACAGAAACATAATAAACATCGTACTTCCAATTCTTTTCTTATTACAACATTTCCGATTTTATTCTTATTACAACCTTGTATCCAGATAAGCACAACCAATACAGGAGCAAGAAAACCAAGAACAAAATGTTGTTGGTGTTGCTTTTGTTGGTAATGTTGTTGATGTTGCTTTTGATTCAGGAAAAACAGCAACAACATCGGCCCAAAAGTTTTAGTGGCTATCTACAATAACAACAAACAGGGATATGAACAGCTTATATTCAAATTAGCTAGTTGGAAGGCTAGCTTCACTATTGAGATCATAATAGACAATTTGCATGAAATTCAAAATTGCAAAAAAAAAAATGCAATTTAACACCTAAAGTAGGTTGCTAAGTCTTGCTTTTAAGTCCTTCCTCTACTATTGGATTAAAATAAATTATCCAAATTTCCAGACACAAAAAAATTATTATTATTATTAAATGCCTTTGTGTGTGGGAAAACTTTAAAAAGTACATTGCTTTTCTTAAATAATAAGAATCTTGGCCAAATATGGATGGGTCAAACTTGGAACATTTTGTTTCATATATATCACATTCGGTTGCAAGTTTCTAAAATCATGAAACATGAAAATATAATGAAGCAAACCACTAAGTAAACAAAGAAAGATGAAAGCAATAAACTCATTATGTTGTGATGAAAAACTAAAGGGCCATCTTGGAATAGGAAGAATGCTTAAAGAAAATAAAAATTGCATCTAATGGTCATTTTATCTCCTCCTTTATAAAAAATTAACTTGGTGGTATTATAGTATCCAACTTCAACTCTACAACCTATTTTTGATTTATTTCTATTACAAAATTTACCTGGTTCAATTATCATCGTATTGGTTCCTTTTTAAGAAAATGTGTCTGATAGTATTATAGCATCAAACTTTGCTTTTTCAAGATTTGTAATACGTGCCAGATTTGGCTATATCATGTCTTGCATGCCATTTTGACCCGATCTATAAAATAAAAAAAAACTAAAATGACACTAAATCTTGAAAAAAAACAATGCAACAAAATCTATCGAAGATCGATTGATATCCACAAGTTTATAGATCATACATATGATGTACCCACGTATAATTTTTTTTTAAAAATGACAAAAGCCATCGAAGATCAATAAATAGTCAATCATCTATTTTTTGTTCTCAATGTTACTACTTAGTGATTTCATCTACAAAGCATGCTATTAGTTTTTAATAGGTCGAAGAAATTTGACAGCAGCTAAGAAATTTAAAAGTAACATATAAATAATAATGACACAATCAAAAATCTGACAAGCTTTTAGTTTTACTATTACAAAGATGTAAAGATGCACAAGTAGAGCAGCAAGTTACAACTGCCAAATTGAACATGCGAAAATCTATCATGTTTTATACATATGAAATTGTAGTTTAAAGAAGGGTGAAATTGCATTAAAACAGAGAGGAATTGTAGTATAACAAAATGACATTTAATGGAATAAGAGGCTCAAAATAAAAAACACAAAACAATTAGCTCTTTCAGAATGTTAATATGTGTCACACCCCCGAACCAGACGGCCGAAACGTCCGGGGGTTGGGTGACCTCATCTTGTAATATCATCACAGTGAATATAAATGAAACATGACAAACACCATCATCATACATACCAAAATACAACCATCGTTGTTTACATCAAATATTGTATTAAATATTACATGCCAGAATAGTTAAAGTATGATGATACAAAATATGAAAGTTCCACATGTTCCTGTCGACCTTTCTGCTTAATGATTTCCTGAGAATACAAGTTAATTTGAAAACGTCAACACATATAATGTTGGTGAGTCATAAGCATGTTTGAGTAAAATGTTTTGTATAACTTTGTAAACACCAGAAAATCCGATATTTTCTGAAAAACGATTTGAAATGTTTGTGTCCGATCTTGTATTAATGCATGTGTGTTAATGTTCGAGAATGTATAAAAAGAATGATCCCAGACAATCTGATATTGTATGTCTATAAAAACGTTAAAGTCTTATGAGTGTAAGTTTCCGTGTTACCAAACTGTAAAGGTATTCTGTAAATTTTTATAATGGTGTTAATTCATCTAAGTGAGTCGTTATAACCATACTTGCTAATGACTAATCCCCCTGTCATGACGTTTTCGGACGTCGACGTGTTTATGGTAAGGTTTGTCACCCTAGACTGGCCTAGTCTAACTGTAGCGATCAGCTCAGGTGTGGGGTGTTACCCCCGTATAGATCTATACACAAACTCCCGCTCT